TTTCTTTTCCTTTTCCTTTTCCTTTTCCTTTTCCTTTTCCTTTTCCTTTTCCTTTTCCTTTTCCTTTTCCTTTTCCTTTTCCTTTTCCTTTTCCTTTTCCTTTTCCTTTTCTTTTTCCTTTCTTTTCCTTTTCCTTTCTTTCTTTTTTTTTTTATAATATATATATATATGTATTTTTTGTTTTTTGTTAAAAGTCATTTAAAAAAAAAAAATGGGAAATTCAGATTGTTGCTGAGGAAGAGGAACGGACTCACCCCAGTACCCGGGGTAATTGCGGAGGGCATGGAAAGGCATGAGGCAGATGGATGTTCAGACAGATGTTCCCGTGCTGAGGGTCCTCTCTTCTCCTCTCTTCATGAGCAATATCACAGTCTGATTTCTGTTGTATACACTTTTAAACATGAGGGCAGATCTGGTTTCTGAGCATAGGCTAAAAGATCTGTATTTGCTTCGTGAACTGCTAAGTTCCAGATGCATTAATTTCTCCTTGCCTCTCTGCCACTGCCACCTCCTGCCAACTTTGCCTCACTGGCAGCGTGGTGTGGACATTTGTGCTTCATCTGATGTGCTTTGGAGCTCATCACCGCGTAACTAAATCATTTATGAACCGCATCGCTTCTTTAATGCCTCTGTAACTTGACTCCGTTCCTCTGCAGTGCACTTTTAATTGTGCTGCAAATGCCATTCCAAGTAGGCTTTATATTGCTCATGGAGCTCATGTCGTGTTATCGCTTGCGCTTTGTTAAGACAAGGTCTGATTTCTTTCTCTCTTCTCTCTGTCTCTTTCCTTTTTTTTTTTTTTTTTTTTTTTTTTTTCCTTTGTTTACTTTCCAGGTATTAGTTAATATTGGCAACCATTTTGATCTTGCTTCCAGTATATTTGTAGCGCCAAGGAAAGGGATATATAGTTTCAGTTTCCACGTGGTCAAGGTCTATAACAGACAAACCATCCAGGTGGGTTGTGATCTAGCTGTCTTGGTGCTTTTTCGAATACTCATCTCTACTTCCCCCCCCCCTCCCCCCCCACTTCCCACCCCCCATTTATAAACCCAGCAGATAAAGAATAAGGCAGTGGATTATTTTAGATAAAAGGTTCTGCATGCATGACAAAAATCATGCATTGCCTTTGCTTAGCTCATCTCTATCTCTAACCTGTGCCAAAGTTTAATGGAGTGCACAGAGCAAGGAAATCACTGAGGCTATTGACAAAACTCAGATTCTCTTTCTTTGCACTTTCTAGGTAAGTTTAATGCAAAACGGCTACCCAGTGATTTCAGCTTTTGCAGGGGATCAGGATGTCACCAGAGAAGCAGCCAGCAACGGGGTCTTGCTCCTCATGGAAAGAGAAGACAAAGTGCATCTCAAACTAGAAAGGGGTAACCTCATGGGCGGGTGGAAATATTCAACCTTTTCTGGCTTCTTAGTCTTTCCACTATAAAAGAAGGCCAAATAGGAGACAGATTGATGAGCTGGTACAAGAATTCAGTTAACAACACCCTGAACTTGGCAGCACACGACAATATTTCCAGTCACCCCGTCAGACTGTCACAGTAGAAGAATGATGACCTTCTAAACTCCAACATTTGCTTTGAATATTGACAATTCCTCGGGAACCTGCGCCTCTAATTAGTTTTAGACGACAGTGATCTTTAGGAGAAATGAAATTATCGACCTGAGCAATTTGTACCTGTGATTGTAAAGTCAATTTCGGATTTTATTGGTGGGATCATTGACTTTCTTCTTTTTTATTATTTTTTTTCCTCTTGTTCATTTTTTCCCCTCTTCTTTCTCTTCTTGTTCCAATGAGACAAATTACTCGGACCACACAATTGCTTTGTCAAAGGCTCATTCCAGAGCCAGAAGAATGAAGTGTTGAGCCCAATGAGATGTTCTTTCCATGCTTTATTTCTTTGTGTTGTATAGCCTTAAGGGAGAAAAAAAAAAAAAAAAAAAAAAAAAAGAAAAAAAAAAAAAAGAATGGCTTCAGTCTCAATTCTGTATTTTTCTGGGGGAGGGGTATTCTGGACATTACTGTGTCAAGAAGTGCTTTATCCAGTGAAGCAAAATTTGCACGATTGGAATCTTATTTGTTTTGTGTTGTTCGTGTTTTTCATCGACTTTTTTTTTTTTCCTGATTTTTATTTGTATGCGCTAAAAATGTAAGCTAGATTGATCAATAAGGCAAAACAAAGCACATATATATCCTGTAGCTCTAAGTAAAGCTAACCAATGAACAATTGCTGTCTACACTTTCCAGCTGATCTTTATAGACCTACTAAAGAGAGAGAAAAAAAGAGAGAGCTACATGATCCTTCAGTTACAATCTGGAAACTAGCAAAGGAACTGACATTTCTGAACGGCCCTGACATTTCTAGAAGCAACAATGGAGGCTCTGAATATCTTAACTGACCATACCCTAAAATATGTCCTTTTTTTGCATTACCAAACATGATTTGGGTGCTTTTAGCTGACATTTACTTCAAGTATTTTTTTTTACCAAGGCCTGAGTACATATTGTGAGAGCTCGGAGAGATGGCGGAACAAACTCTTTCTCTTCCACATTAAATAAAACCACCTCCTCTTGCCTGTCCATGGCAACTATCTGAGCATCTGCCCCTAGCATCTTTGGCAGCATTTGGGAGTGGGACCTCAGGGGATCAGCAAACACATCAGAAATTGTGCAGGTGCCACGTATTTATCAGCCATATGTGTTCTGACCAACACAAATGGCCTCTGAGTTGTGGGGGTGCAATGCGATCAGTACTAGAGGTGAGGAAAAGTTATTACTCCAGTTGACAAGAGGAAAAATACCAGGCCAGCATCAAATACATACTTTTGCCACATTTTCATCAAATAAATCTTGTCTTCACTTTATGACAGTGTGCTGAGGACATACTTGCATGAGGAGATCCAGGAGGGATGTTTATATTCTTTGGTATAATTTTAACTTCATTTATTTAAATATTTCATCTTGTTATTAAGCTCACAAGAATGGATATGTATAAGAATTTATTTTTTATCAGATTTACTCTTCTGCCACAAACAAATATAATGCAAAGGCATTTGCAGCAAATTGGTGGTAGCTATGTTGTATATCAGAATTATGGTGGACATGTCATTTTCATTGTAAATTTATCATTAAAGGGACAAGGTCAATTAAAATCATATATTCTTTAAAAAATCTTATCTGTGTTGCTTGTGATACCTCAAATGGCTAAAACCTAAGCCAATTTTATATTTAACATTTTTGTATGTTTTTTGTGATTGGTATTTGCTTTGGCGTTTTGCTAAGCCGCTCGTTGGATGAACGAGTTTCAGGTTTTGTTTTTTACTGAGTTGCATTTTCTGGTTCCTCCTTGTGCATTGGCATGATTGTAATGTTTATAGTTGCAAAATATAACAGGGCTATGTTTAAATACAACAAATAAAACCTGAGTCAGCAACAACCTTTTTCCATCGAAACACGAAAATAATTATGAAAGCTGTTCATAGGTACTGTAAAACTATTTTTAAATCCAGGTTTTTGTGTTTAAAACTTAAGCATCTTTCTCAAGGAAATATGCACTGATTTTGGTTCGAAGTTCCACGTTTTCAGTTTCTGTTACATTCCCACAGTGTTATTTTGAAATTATGCCTAGCATAAGCACTTTGATTTTTCCTATACAACTTGGTTCATCTGCCTTGAGTGACGAAATGTTGTTTTAGTTCTGGCTCTCTCCTGAGCTAAACAATGCCAATTGCAAGGTTTTCTTTGGACACATTCTTAGAAGCCTCTGAGCCACTGAAATTGTGGCTGACCTTTCCATCTGAATGAAAGAAAGGTCTCTGATATACCCTTTCCCTCTTTCTTTGCGTGTCTTTTATGCTAAGCTGTGAAGTTGGCACCATTGTATAAATAGTGGTATTAAATTGAAATAGGGCAGTAAATTCTCATTGTACACTAATTACAAACACGGCTTTTTTGGGGGTGGTTTGTTTGTTTATTTGGAAATGCTTGTTCCCATTCCTCTTTTTTGTACCTGAGTTTGAATAGGTGCACTTTGGTAGATATTTTATTATATATTTAAGGCAGTGTGGAATGCAACAAGAATTATGTGAAGCTGCTTAGAGGAGCCTTCTGGCATATAAAGAATAGGCTTATCTGAAGTAATTTATGAAAGTACATTGATTAGCTATCATTTGGAGCTGGTTCAAAGTTCATGTCAAGGAGCATCGTGCCAGTTTCTAAGTGTAAAACATAACACTGTGAAGCAGGCCAGTGGCACAATAACAGCTTTGGTTCCTGCGAGAGTAATAACACAATATTCCTTCCAACAACTTTCAAACTTGCTCATAAATTGCTGTGTAAGTTATTCCTATGAGAACACTGTACATTTGATATCTTCCAGGGACTAGCTGCTTCCCTCTTGCTTGTGTGTCTTTGGGAAGCACTGTTTTATTGTTTCTTCAGTGGATACTTGGTAGGGTAGAAACCAAAACCTATTTTAGGAATGATACTCATCATACAGTTTGTTTCTTACCTGTATATCTTCAAATTTTACATCTATAATTTTAATACAACCTTGCAAAAAGTAGTATGCCCTTTCATACTCTCTGAGGCAGTGAGTGTGATGGATATGTATTGTCTCTCATTACTGGTCAGCATCTTGCAAGCTGGATCTGCTTATGTTGGTGGGATGAGGAGAGAGACGATGAAACTAAGGAGATGTTTAGCTGCTACATTTTGTTTGTTAGCTGTAACAGTTTTAACTTTGAAGTAGAACATTTTGATTTCTTTGGACCAAATTTTTATCTTGCACAAGCTAAGTAGAAGATGCTTGTTTACAGATGAAGTTTTTAAGAAATAGATGAAAGTGGTTTCATATGTTTGCAATGTGACATTCATTGCTGGAATAGGCAAGGTCACAGGTAGAGTTGCTTAAAAGTGACTATTATAATTAATAGCTTATTTCAATCCATTATAACCTTATGTGTTAACAAGCACTCAAAAATCAGTGTCATCAATACCCTTCATGATTTTCACAGGTAACAACTTGTTAGATCAAAGTCCATTAAATTACATGTAACTATAGAAAAAAAAATCATTTGTTTTTATTTATTATTGAAAGCATTTGAACTCTACATTCTCCTGTTCCAAGACCATGTTTGGTCAGATGAATTACAACCATTTCTAATCATTAAATAATAATGATTCACTGTAAAATAATCAACTTTTTAATGGATCAGATTCCTTTGTTTGGTTTGTCTTCATCTGTGAGAGTATTCAAGACAGAAATGTATGATTATTTGTTACCTTTTAACTCAATCATATTAACTGGTTATAAACTGAGAATTATTATGATACATCATGATTGTAGTTAGACATTGATTAGGTGGCTTGTCAAATGATAGGCAAAGCTTTTGATCAGTTGCTTAGTAGTATCAGCAAAATTGTGCCATAGTGAAATAGATGTATTATCTTTTTAATTAAGAGGTTAACCCTACTTGGTTTACTTCTATATAGTCATTTTCTCTACTAGGAATTTTATGAAAAACATCATTAGGATTGAGCCTAAATGATAGGGCTTCGACTTTTGTTCATTGTCTACAGTTATTCTTACTTTTAAAAAGTCAGTGGTAATAAGTGCAAACCCATAGTTAACATGAAACACACTTATCAGTTTAAATATATTTCAATACCAGTTATAATCCCAGCAATGTAACTAAAGTCCTACAAATATATTGCAAACTTATATTGCAAATCCATTTTCAAAACATCAATTTTTCCACTCTTATCTGGCATACTCACATAGCTGATCATTTCCTTGTTAGCCATTATCAGTAAAATCCAAAAATCACTAATTGCTTTTAACACTGTCTGAGTGTAATCATGAACTTGCACTTCATACATCAAGTAATGCCTAGAATATTGCATTTCTTCCCAGGTAGTATATGATGAAGTACTTAGTTAATCCCATCAGCTATACATTTGCAAAATAAAGACCAAGTACCATATATAATGCCTTATAAAGACAATGTGAAGCAAATATTGAGTACCATGATGAATTCTGTATTTTTAAAAAATACAGGAATAAAGATGGTGTAAACAAATACTCAAAAACTCAAGAAATATTAAATTTTTAAATTAATGTTTTTCACTGGTACTGAGTGCTTCTCTGAAAGTGATGCCTCCTAGTTTTTTAACTTGGCCCATGACATCAGAGGTGAATGTTGGTGGCACGGCAGAAGAGGTCGAATCTTCACACCAATATTCCATTACATTTTGTTACCATGTGACAGATGGCAGCAGAGGGGCAGTCTTACACAATGGCATCTGACATGGAAGTGCATATGAAGAAAGGTGTGGAACTGAATCCCTCCATACAGAAAAAATGGCACCCACTGACATTCATCAATGCCTGGTGAGTTTATGGAGACCAACCAGTGGAAGAGAGTGCACTGACACGGTGGGTGGTCTATTTCTGCAGCGGTGACAGAGACAGTGGTTCACCTCTCTGGCACAGAATTTTACTAGTGCACCATGCAGGCATCATAGCTAATGGTGGTGACTATGTTGAAAAAGAGTGTTTCGTTGCTGAGAATTTGCTCTATCAAATAGTGTTATTGTGCTCTTTGTTCCAGTTTCTATGGAAATAAATAAGAGACATTATTTTAGGAATAACCTCTGTATTTCCATTATAACAGCAAGCTCTTATTTTTACCATCAGAATCTAAAAAAGAATTTAAACTCTTTTGTAAGATCAAGAATCTTGTTCAGAGTAGTGTTATAATGACTCAACAGATACAGAAGCTCATAAATTAGGAGGGAAATGAGTTTTGATCTTGGAAGCCTATGTATTGTCTCCTGTCAAAATTTCAGAGAAGGCTGGAGCACCTCTTTTATGAAGAAAGGTTGAGGGAACTGGGCTTGTTTAGCTTGGAGAAGAGAAGGCTCCATGGAGACCTCATTGTCTACTAGGCCTTCTAGTATTTGAAGGGAGCGTATAAACAGGAGGGGGAACGGCTGTTTAAATGGTATATAGCGATAGGACAAGGGGGAATGGTTCTAAACTGAGACAGGGGAGATTTAGGTTAGGTATTAGGAGGAAGTTTTTCACTGAGAGGGTGGTGAGGCACTGGAGCAGGTTGCCCAAGGAGGTTGTGGATGCCCCATCCCTGGAGGCATTCAAGGCCAGGCTGAATGTGGCTCTGGGCAGCCTGGTCTGCTGGTTGGCAACCCTGCACATAGCAGGGGATTGGAACTGGATGATCATTGTGGTCCATTTGAACCCAGGTCATTCTATGATTCTATGTTAAATTAGTAATTATTTATTATGTAACATTCTCATTACACCTGACATTTCAATTAATTGAAACTTATTTGAAATGTTTTTGTATTTATAAATACACACAAGCATATAAATGTGTATATATAAGTATGTAAGTATATGTAAGTATAAAGCAAACCTCTAGCTACAAATCTATGGACAGTGTTGAGTTTTTCTGATAAAGTTTAGCCTTCTTTTCTCTAGAGTGTTTATTGTCATTCTAAACCTAAAACTGTTTATCTTTGCTTGGATACAAAAGTACACCAAATAATAGCAAGTAACAGCATACATTTAAATGCTGAGATCTGTTACAGTTCAGGTAACATTAAGGTACAGTGAATCAGAGTAATTGCGGCATTCATTGCAGCAGGTTGTGGACACTTCTGGTCTAAGTGACCCTCTAGGGCTGCGTAGTGCTTTGTGCGATCTGCTTCAAGACATCAGACAGATTCAGTCTGTTCTTACACTGACAGGAAACCCATAATAACTATTCAAAGTGAAAATGTTCCTTATTTTTAGCTGTTTAGTAATAATAATTTTTATATGCTGCTGTAATTTTGCGTGCGTGAACAATTTCTGTATATAGATGCATTATATTCCCACATGGAATTAATCTCATTGAGACCTGCGGTGGACTTCAGTAGAGAGAGAATAAGGAGTTTTCCAACATTTTATCTGTTCATTAGGAGCAGTAACCTAGCACAGAGCTCCAGGCTTATTTTTACCAGACAAAATATATACAAAATTATATAAGAAAGAATATTTTGAGTTTTCTTAAATTATTTATTATTACTAACAGCAGAATTTTCTTGGTTTGTTTCGTAATAGTATGATTGGGGGTATTTTAGAATGGAA